AGTAGAAAGTTTCCAAAGGAGTTCAAAGAATATCAGCCCCAAAGCAAACATGTCCACTTTTCTGTCGTACTTCCTCTCAGTCTTCTGTGATTGACAAACAGACAAAGGACAAATGTATCTGATGTCATATTTTTCTCAATCACTGTGCTAAATGTTACAGTTATGCTTGAATTCAACAAATCTTTTCATCTTTCAGTTTAATTGCTTAAATTTGAGGGTCAAATAAAATTCTGCGGGAAGAAAAGCTGATGATTTTACAGCTCTCACCACTAAAGAGAGGTGAGACTGAGCTTTGTTAAGTGTGAAAGGCTCACATGTAGTACTTAGGCCATTTATAAAAATCCTATTTATTAACCAATGAAACACAAGAAGTAAACATTATTGTCAGTATAGACCATCTCACTTGTTCAGGAGCCATGTAAGATGGAGTTCCTTTGCACACTGTTCTCTCTTCATCATCATCATCACTGGTGACCAGACCAAAGTCCCCAATCTTCACTTCTCCTTCCACTCCAAACATGATGTTTGCAGGCTTTGCATTCAAAAGAAGAACATGAGGTATGTTTGAGCAAAATTATCAAAGAGGTATATTTATGTTTATTTATTTGATCATTTCTAGGGACCAAAAAATCAGCAATGATGTTGCACAATCTATTGTTTGATAGTTTCATGAATGCCCTAAAAGCAGATTTAAAAATAGTCAACAAAAGTCTGTTATGTGTCTCAGGGCGCCTAAAGACCCTTATCATAGTAAACCAGAGGACACATTAAGGGGTCACACACTTGAAGTACCTTCTAATTTCAGCAGAACAATTTTATTTTGTCTTGAAATTTGCTGCATTGTCTCACCTTAAGGTCTCTGTGGATGTGGTTCTTGGAGTGAATATACTCGACTCCACAAACTATTTCTTGAACAATTCTCAGACTTTCTTCTCTTCGCTTGGAGTCTTGTTCACTCTCTTTATTCTTCTCATCAATCCAGTCTCTCAGTGTGTTTTTGGCACATAACTCCATCTGAATATACAGGAACTTTGTCTCGGGGTTATCTGCAGTGCTAAAAATGTAAAAAAAAAAGAAAAGGAAAAAGTGATGTAAATATTTAACTTTAACCTTTTAACAAAAAGTTAATATATAAAAGTGGGTCCACAGGACTCACTGTGAAGAGGCGTAACTGTCACAACTGTCTCTAAGGTCCCACTCGTATCCAGTATCCTGCATCCAGAACGTGTAATATCTAACAATGTTACGGTGGAAGAGGTCTGATAATGTTCTCACCTCTCGAAGAGATTTTCTGAAACACAATAAGAAAAGTGTCAATACAGAAAGTGCACAAGTACTGTGCATATAACACTGAATGCTGGAATCCTACTGTGGCATACTTAACTCTTTATAGCAGCCGACCTTCACAGCATATTCTATCTTCAACTGTTTATGTCTTACTTTGTAAACAGAACCAAAGGCCCCCTTACCAAGATGCTCCAAGGGTTCAAATTCTGAAGTAAACCTGTGGACAGCAACACTATTACTTATGCAAAAATGCAATAAAATTAATTGATCAAATACAGAAAGCTCTTATCAACTTATTCAAAAGTGTGTGTGTGTGTGTGTGTGTGTGTGTGTGTGTGTGTGTGTGTGTTGACTGAGTGACTGAGGTATTTCTGAAAACGACCAATGATTTTGACAGGTTTTTCTGCACGGCACGGTTACTTGACACTTACCCTTGGCTTACATTAAAATTGTTACTTAGACTGTGATCATTAGATTGCTGCTGAAGCTAAAAAAGCTCTCCAAGTTGACGTCAAGCTATGTCCAGCTGCTCCATAAGCAACAACTGTTTCCGATTCTGGATTTACCCTTCTACAGGATCTCTTGTTTCTCATACACACAAGGTGGACTTGCATTTACCATAAATGACCCCAGAGGTCTGCGCTGCTGTCACTTTTTGGCCATGAAAGCTCTGAAACTGCCCGATGGGCCCAAACCCATCATGGAAAGGAAAATGTTTTCTTTCTTGTGTTCCATTTGACTGAACTGCTTTTCCATGGTACTTTCGTTTGTTTATTTATTTTTTACTTTATAGAACTTAATCACTGAGTATGTTTCTGTTTACTAATAACATTGTCACTCAAAACAAAACATTGAAAAAAAAAATCGACTGGATTTTTTTTAGCGGCACTGACTTGAATTTAATTAATTTGTCTGCATGAACTCCGAGGAAGGAAAGAATATATAAATGATATGGCACCTTTATGACTTGGGCTTTTTTTTTTTTTTGAATCTGTAGTGAAAGCCATCACAGAGGCTAAGACTCCTTTTCAGTGCTCTTAAATTATAATACTGTATGTCATGGACCATGTCCAGCTAATGGGACACAGACATTAAGTCATTACCTATCCCTATTCTCTTCTCCTTTGTGGACTTGCCCTTTATTAAAGTGGTTTAAAATGAAGTTCTTGTTGAGTACCTGACAGATGTGATAGTCTCAGACCCAGAAGATACAGAGGATGCCTAAAATGCATAAACACGTATTTGGTTTTTACAGCAAAATTTAAAACATAAACATGGTTCTGCTCCTATTGTTGTTTACTATTGTTCTATTACTATTAATGTATTACAGTTGTTATTACTTTGAATTATGTTAGAACAGACCTGGGACGTAGAAGGGTTTGAGGAGTTACTTGGAGTGTTTTGTGATGATGATTCACTGTTGTTCCTAGAAAAATGATACAATTACTTCACAGCCTGAAATATACACAATGCTGTAAGCATGTTTATATATTTATAATTAGTGGTGGGTTTCGATAATCGTTTTTCTGATTAAAATTGATTTTAGCTTGAATAAAGCGATATCGATTAATTAAATCCTGAATAGATTTTTAAATATAAATGTATTTTGCCAGAAATGCCAGAATCTCAGGTTAAACCTCACAAAACTATCTCAAAAACCACCAAACGGCTAAAACAGTAAATGAGAGCAGGTAAACGGATTCCACACAAATATGTAAACACAAAGCGCTGACCCAATGCATCAGAATCTGTGAGATGTTGACTTTCTCACCCAACAACACATACACAGACACGCCGTCGGGGATGAAAGTCGACAGCTCACAGATTCTGAACCTTCAGGTTCGTCTCTCTTCAACCAAAATTGATTGAACCAGCAGCAAAAGAAGATCACATTTTGCTTCACATAAACATCATTAATTCCCTCTTACTTTTGCTGTTTTGTTTCCACCACGATAAAATCACACTTCCTGCACAGCTCTCTCTCAGTGTACTTCAAGAACAGATTCCCATCGAAAATCTCTGTTTTTTGCATTATTTGCTTGCTTAGTCTACCATTCAGTCTACCATTGTTTACAACGCTGTTGGCCGCTGTTTTTTATGATTTCTGACAAGAACGCCTCATTTCTGCAGTTGGGACCTTGTGAATCCGAATCGAATCAACTCTAGAAATCGGTGACGATATCAAGCTCTAGTTATAATACTGTCCTGGTGTCAGTAAGTGCTTACTGTGTAACTGATGAGGCTAAGGATTCAGGTGGAGCACCATCTTCCGATGCTGTTGGCCTGATGGACACCTAAAACACACAGCAAAATCCTTTATTTTATG